GCCCGCGCCGCGCGCCCCCACCCCGGCCCGAGCCCCGAGCCCCGAGCCCCGAGCCGTATGCCTCTGCCCTTTGCAGGAACGCGCTGATGTTCAACAACGAGCTCATGGCCGACGTGCACTTCGTCGTGGGGCCCCCGGGGGCAGCCCGCAGGGTGCCTGCCCACAAGGTGAGCGGACGCGCGGCCCAGCTCGCGAGCAGCGACTGTGCTCTCCCCGCGGGCGTGGCGTGCTGGCATCCCGTCCTGGCATCCGCTGGGGGCAGGGAGGGCTCAGGGCAGCTTGTGTCTCCGCAGTATGTCTTGGCGGTCGGGAGCTCCGTCTTCTATGCCATGTTTTACGGCGACCTGGCAGAAGTCAAGTCAGAAATCCACATCCCCGACGTGGAGCCTGCAGCTTTTCTGATCTTGTTAAAGTACGTGCGTTGCGTGAGGGCGCGGGGAGGGGGTGGGTGCCGCTGCCTGGCGCGCCCCGTGCAGCCTGTGACGCAGCCCCCACCCTGCCCAGGTACATGTACAGCGACGAGATCGACCTGGAAGCCGACACGGTGCTGGCCACCCTCTACGCTGCCAAGAAGTACATCGTCCCCGCTCTGGCAAAAGCCTGTGTCAATTTCCTGGAGACGAGTCTGGAAGCCAAGAACGCCTGCGTCCTGCTGTCCCAGAGCCGGCTGTTTGAGGAGCCGGAGCTGACCCAGCGCTGCTGGGAGGTCATCGATGCACAAGCCGAGATGGCCCTGCGGTCTGAAGGCTTCTGCGAAATCGACTGGCAGACGCTGGAGATCATCGTGACGCGGGAGGCGCTCAACGCCAAGGAGGCGGTGGTCTTCGAGGCCGTCCTGCACTGGGCCGAGGCAGAGTGCAAGAGACAGGGCTTGCCGGCCACCCCGCGCAACAAGAGGCACGTCTTGGGGCCTGCCCTCTACCTGGTCCGAATTCCCACCATGACCCTGGAGGAGTTTGCCAACGGCGCCGCCCAGTCGGGCATCCTGACCCTGGAGGAGACCCACGACATCTTCCTGTGGTACACGGCGGCCAACAAGCCGCTCCTCAGCTTCCCGCTGACCAAGAGGAAGGGCCTGGCCCCACAGCGGTGCCACCGCTTCCAGTCTTCCGCCTACCGCAGCAACCAGTGGCGGTACCGTGGGCGCTGTGACAGCATCCAGTTTGCTGTGGACAGGAGGGTGTTCATCGCGGGGCTGGGCCTGTACGGGTCCAGCTCCGGGACAGCCGAGTACAGCGTCAAGATCGAACTGAAGCGGCTGGGGGTGCTCCTGGCTCAGAACCTGACCAAGTTTGTGTCGGACGGCTCCAGCAACACCTTCTCGGTGTGGTTTGAACACCCCGTGCAGGTGGAACAGGACAGCTTCTACACGGCCAGCGCGGTCCTGGACGGCAGCGAGCTCAGCTACTTTGGGCAGGAGGGCATGACCGAAGTACAGTGCGGGAAGGTGACCTTCCAGTTCCAGTGCTCCTCGGACAGCACCAACGGGACCGGGGTCCAGGGTGGGCAGATCCCCGAGCTCATCTTCTATGCCTGAACTGCCGAGGGGTGGCCCGGACGCGCGAGGACGCGCACCAGCAGGAGGCCTTTCTCTGCAGCCGGCCCCGCCGGGAAGGGACGCGCAGCAGACTGTGCGACCCCTTCCCCCCCTTGCCGGCTGCCTTACCAACAGCATTAAAGGCTTCGTTCCTTTCTCTCTCTCTCTCTCTCTCTCGTTCATAGTCAGCGGCAGCCCAGGGCTGGGAACTCGACGCTCTTCCTACACAGCGAGGGCCAGGGCTTCTGCGTCCCGGCGGCTGGGCAGATCTGGGGGCACAAGGCGGGCTTCCTGCAGGCCCCCACCCTGCGGTGCCCACACCACCCGCTCTGTGGGCCTTGCTGCCCCTCCCACCCCCAAGAATTCTCAGCACTACTGCGCTTAACCTAAAACCTTCCCTTCAGATCCAGAATTGGGAAAAGGCACCTAAAACAGTCCACGTCTAGCTGCATTTTCGTAACAAGATTTCAATGAAACAAGCTACCGAGAGAGAGACGAGTGAAGGAGCATGAAGCCGAGGCACGCGCTTTCCCACGTGTCTGTGAACGGCATGTCCCTTCCAGCACACGAAAAAGCCTCCAGTGCTAAGCCATGCTTCCTGGTTAGAAACAAACTGCCTCCTAGGGAGGCCCGTCTGTCCCCGTCTGTCGGCTTCCACCGTGGGTCTGTGGCCAGAACACTCTGGAAAAGGCCAGGTGTCTGCTTGTGTCGTGCTTCCTGAGGCATCCCAGCCTCTCAGACAAAGCCCTACTGGAGGACTCCGATTTGAGGGTGGCGGGGTGAGGTGGGGCTCTCTGCAGGCCCCAGATGGCCCCTGTGCAGGCATGCTTCGGGGTAAAGCAGGGTCTCTGAGCCCCTTACCTCTGTTCTCCCAGGCTGCACACTTTGTGGCTGGTTGCTTTGTTTCTGAAAAACCTCAGCTTGACCCCGGAGGGAGGGACCATGTCACTCGGCACAGGGACGTGGCCTCTTGGGGGAGGGTCTTAGCTGGGAGTGGAACCCCCAAGCCTAGTGTAGCCCTGCAGCTGTGCCCCTCTCCTGACCCACCCTGCCAGACCCTGCCTTCCCAGCCCCAGGGTACCATCCTGTGGGTTATCTGGGACTGCACCCCTAGCCCGCCCTCCCTGGCCCTGCACCCTGCCTCCTTGAAACAAAATACACTTGTAGAGAATGATGGGCAAAACGGGGAGCAGCCCCCGCAAGCAGACTGTGAGAACAATCCTCTCGGTGAAGCTCCAGGGAAGGCAGAATGGGCTAGGAAAGCACCTCTCCGTCTGCAGAGGTCCTGCCTTCCCCGGGGCACCGGCCACCAGGTGTATTCCTCAAGAGGTGGACAGATGGGTCCCGTTTCCCTCTGTACCCTCCTCCACACCTGCCGGGGACTGACCATGGGCGCTCTGGTTCTAAACCAGAAGTAATCCCCAAACTGTCGGGCTCCCAGCTGCTTCTCGGACGTTTCTTCCGACCCGGTGGAGCCCCTGTCCCTGCACAGGACTCCCTCCCACCCGACGTACCGATCGCCGGCGCGTTGATGCACAGTTCTCTTGCCAGAAGAAGGAACGTCTTCCCCAGCACGTACACGTTCACCTGTGAGGAAGAAGCCACAGCTGAGGACAGCACTGGGATTTGGGAAACGTTTGCTTTTGTTCCTTACGACATGCATTTCACCGTTCAGTCTCTGACAGCCCCCCGCCACCCCGGGCCCACCCTGCTTCCCAATCCCAGGCAGCTTTTTCAGACCCTGCACTGTCTCAGCAACGACTGGATCTGCTACGAGAGAGAATGCTGACGTAGAGCCCAGAGCTCACTGTGTGTCGTTCAGAGTGCTCTGCACCCCTGCATGCTCCCTTGCTGGGATCCTTGTCTGTGTCCCTGTGGACCAGCTCCGTCATGGCCGTGGGTCTCTGCAGGCCTCGGTGACCCCTCCCCCCACCCCCATCAAGTCCAAATTGGCTGTGGAGTCCACCGCCTAACCAGGCTGCTTGCAACTGAACACAGGGTCAAGGACTCTAGGGTGCAGACCTCCAGTGCGGCTGAGCCTGGGGTTGTCCTAAGAGCTGGTCCTGTGCTGACCAAGGCCTGGGGGGGTAGGAGGGCTGTGGGGAGGGGATTCTGAGCTGTGTTTGATGACAGGCGTGGCAGAAGCTGTTCTGCTTGGATAAGGTGCAGATTTGGGAGAAGCCCAGGCTTAGCCCCTTCCGCCTGAGCTGGAGAGGCCTGCCCTGCCCCTGGGACTTGCAGGCCTCAGTGTCCTGGCCCTGGCCCCCTGCCTCTGGTCTCCCTGTAGAGTCCCTTTGCCTTATCAGCCTGGCCTGAGGTCCTGGATGAGGGCCCCTTAGCCTCACGCCCAAAGAAGCCACCAGAAAAGACTGCGAAGAAGCATCAAGAGCGGCCATCGGGGGCTCTCAGGCAGCACAGGTGGGCGTCTGCGGCCCTCAGGGAGGGCTAAAGAATGGTACAAAGTCCGCTTGGAGGAGATGGAGGGTGTGGTGCGGGGGGCCTGCACTCCACACCCAGGCCTCCTCCTCCAGGAAGCCCCCCTCATGGGGCCGGTGGCTCACAGAGCTTGCCTTCTGAAGGGATTCTGCCCCTGGCCTGCCCACCAGAGTGCACTCACAGTGTGTGAGCGTGTTACTGTGTGTGCGTGTGGAAGCGTGCATCTTCTAGGAACACCCCACGCTCCTGCGTCTTCACTCTCCCGACTTCATGCCCGTTTGGACCAGAGTGGAACTCACCTGCCCCGCAGTGTGCTGAGCCCCCCCTCCCCACCTCCCACCTCCCTGACCCTGTCCCAGGCACGTGGAGACCTGCGTGCTACAGAGAAGGGCTCTCTGGAAAGGTCGAATGTTTAAGGGCCATGCTTGTACAATGCATGTGGTTACTGCCGGAGACGCTGACGTTCATCGGCAGGCATGAGAAACAGTGATGTGGGGCTCTGCAGACCCCTCCCTGCGTTTGTGGCTCGTCTCCGTGGAGGTGGCCGGCCAGCCTTCCCGCTCCTGTCCAACGGGCAGACGGGCTCTGCACGAAGACGGCCCTGAGTGGCCCTGTGCCAGCCACGGCTTCGTGGGGTGCCAGGACCCCCGACCCGGTTCCTGCCAGGGGTGCTCAGCAGGAGCTGAGCCCTGAGCCTGTGTCAGCCCTTGGCGGCCCTGCACTAGCTCCCTGTGTCCTTGCTGGGAAGGCCCAGGAGGGGACAGGCCGTGAGGCCACGCCCTGACCGCACACCGCACGTGGAGCACTGGGCTTCCATGATTCCAGCAGGTTATTATTAGCGTGGCCACAGACTGTTTCAGCAGGGCTCCTGAGAGATGCCATTTATAAAGACAGCTGGGAGGGCAGACACACAGGCAGCATGTGGCTTACGCGGAAGTCGAGCTGTGTCAGCGCGGGGGGCCCTGTGCAAGCTTTCCTCAAAGGCGTGGGATCTTTGTGAGTCCCGCACGCACCCTTCATACTGTGGTCACTTCTGTTCTCTGTGACCCCCTGCTCTTTCCGAGTCCCCCGTGGAGCGATCCCTCCGCCTGCCCCGGTCCCGTCCCCAGGGACAGGACACATGCAGAACCTCGACGGCCCCACCCTGTAAGTGTCCCATCCACACAGGTGTCCTTCCTGCTGGGTCTTTTTCCATCACCTTCAGTAGTTTGCAAACAAGAGATGCAACAGAAAATGCTTTCCTGGTACCCAGACAGGGTCCCCAAATAGACTATAATGTGGCTTTTTATACTGTTGAAGATGCATGCATGTGAGTCCCTTTGTTTTTCTCTCAAAGCATCTCCCCTCAGACCAATTTCAGCTGGGTCTTTCCACTGGCTCTGAGGCCGGGGCCACCCAGCCCCCAGGGCAGCGCAGTGACCCTGTGTTTACAGCCCCCCCGCCACCGGTTTTGAAACAGACCACACCCCGGTCTGTCCTCTGTTCTGTGGACCAGCCTCCAGCCTGGGTAGCACAAGCCCCAGTCCCAGCCTCCCTTGGGAACGGGGCTCAGGAAGGAAACCAGTCTACCTGGAGCAGGTCACTGAGGTCGAGGAGCATGTCTGTGGCAGGAGTCAAGGAATGTCTGCACCCAAGCCCACGGGCTCCGGCTGCCCAACCCCTTCCCTGAGGCGCAGACGGAATACGTGGCACAGGACCCTGGTGTGAATCCGAGCTTGGCATGGATCCCCCAGGAGGAGTGAGGCATCATGCTGACTGGAACCTGTGGACCACTCCCAGGGCCAGTGGCGTAGCCCTCAGAGTACGCGTGGCCTTCACAGAGCAGCCCCCCGCCCGTGGGGCACGCCCAGAAGCATGGGACGCTCACGCCATCCCTCGAGCAGCCACTGAGAGCCCGCCAGGCACGGCGTGTGGCGTCTGCCCCATGGCGCGTGGCTCCTGGGGGACAGACACGCACAGTGGGCCACCTTTGGTGGCCGGCGGGCACCTTCACGGTGCCGGTGCTGGAGGGGCCAGCCACGGGGACTCTGGGACCCGTCCTCACCCTTCGGCAGGTGATTAAGGAGTAACCAGATTAAGTCCTCCGTGATCTGGCACCCAGCGGGACACGCACACTCACACGCCGAGTGAGGCACCTGGTCGGGCGCAGCGAGACGTCACGTCGCTCACGGGTCTGCCGTGGCTTTGAGACGGTAACGGAGTCAGACCAGACCCGGGGTCGGGGGCGAGACCCTGGCCCAAACACAGAAGAAAGAAGTCCCCGATGCCACAGGTCCGTGAGGTCCCAGACACCCCACCACGACCTCTAAGGTCCTGAATAAAAGGCTCCCTGTTTCTCGGTCCCTGAAGGCACGCGCTCGGGCGGGAGGGTCGCCACAAGACGAGAGAAGGTGCAGGTGCAGACTGACCCGCTGGCGGGACCAGGTGCGGAAAGAAGAGCAGGGAGCAGAAGGAGCCGTCCTAAGGGAGCGAGCGGAAACCCGTGGTGTCGAGACAGACGCATGAGCCCAGGCCCGGAGGCAAAGCTCCAGAGACGTAAACGGGTCAGTGGCTGCTGGGGTGGGGGCGGGGCCCAGGGACGAACAGGGGAGCACAGGGGACTTTCAGGGCAGTTAGCCTCCATATGATGTCACAGCCACGGGCACCGAGGGCACAGGACGGGCAGGTGCCCGGTGAGCCGCCATCATGGCAACACGGGGCCCCCACCGACGGGGACACCCAGCACAGCTGTGCAGGCGTGGACTGGGAAACGCTGTGTGCGCGCTGGGGGGCGATGGGGAAGTCCGCACCGTTCTGCCTTTAACCTACAACTGCTCCGAGAGATGAAGTCTGTTCAAAAGATAAAATAAAAGCCAAGTAACGGGTAGAAGTTTTGAACAGACACTTCAAGAGGAGAAGCATAGCGTTCATGAGCACATGACAAGAACCCGCCCTCGTTAGTTATCCGAGAAATGCTGACAAAGTGCCCCCCAACGGCACCAAATGCTGGCAAGGATGGGGGCCACCCCAACCCACGCACCTGCCGGCGGGGTACCACGGAACAACCGCTTTGGAGAAAGGCCACAGCTTCCTGTAACCCTGACCACACACCTGCCTGTGACCAGCTACTCCGCACCAAGGTATTTACCCACGGACACGAAAGCCCGCATCCACGCACGAGCCTCACACCAACAGCCAAAGGCACGAAGAGCCCAGATGTCCACTGACGGCAGAACCCGTGGCCGGTCACACGTTCCTACAATGGAGCGACCATTTCGTGGCACACACCACATGGATGGGTCCAAAAGCTTGCCTAGTGACACAAATCTTACAGACCAGGGCTTCCCTTTACCGGACGCTCAGAACAAGCCAGACTAACCGATGGGAATCCTCGGACAGTGGGTGCCTCGGGGGCAGGGGGCGGCCTGACCAGAAGGGCCGCAGGCTGGTGTCGCCCAGATCCTGCTGGGAGGTCTGGTTGCAGAGATGCACACATATGGCAAAACTCCCCAAATGGCACCATTGATACTTGTGTATTTTGTTTTATGCCAATTTTCCCACAAAAGGGAAACGAGCAATGTAGCAAATACCGGAATCTAGTCCGTTAATGACCTGCCAGCTGAAGGGCCTGTGGGGAACAGCAGAGGGCTGTGCCGGGAAGTGCGAGGCTGGGGTGTCCACTGTGTGGTCCTTCGACCCTGCCGGGGGTCTGAGAGTCCCCATGGTAAAATGATGGGGAAAGTGCGCGTATCTTACAGAGGAGACTGGACTTCAAGTCGTACCCGCGTGGACAGGCCTGGCGTCCTTGAGACGCTAGAGGTGGTAGGGCACGTGGCCGCCTGGACGCAGTGGCAGGCTCAACCGCGTGCGTCCCTACGTGGGCGTCCACATTCCCCTCGTGACCTGCCTGGGGCCCAAGCCTGCTCATGCCCTCAGGGCCCGGCCCACGGCAGCTCCGCCGACTCATGGGCCTTTAGGGGTGTTCTGGTGGCTTTGGAAAGTCTTCTGTCTGGCCTGGCCAGTGGGCCTGTGTCTCTACCTTTTTGCTAAGCAGCTGCTTCTAACCTTCCTGGCACAGGGACACCAACCAGACCTCCAAATTTGCTGGAATCCTAAAAAAGTCAGCACGGACGAGGCCTGTCTGCTGGTGCTGAGCACAGCGCCAGGCGCGAGCACATCTGCTCTGACGGCCTCCCTCCTGGTCCCTGACGTGCCCTGCCCGGTGGGACTTCCGCTCAGCGAGCACCAACTCGGAGTGCCGGCCCTCAAAGAGACGCGTAAACACAGAGAACGGTGGCGCACAAAACACCGTCAGAAGATTCTAGACACTCCTGAGAGTCCAAACGGACCACAACGCAGGGGGCTCCTGCAGAGCACCAGCGGGCTTTGAGCAAGTGTGCCCAGGCCAGCGCTCCCAGCCGTCACGCCAGGGCCCTCAGGACACCATCTGGCTGGTCTGCGTGCTGCTTCCGAAGAACCATCAGACTTGACTTAAACTCAGGCCCGTTTTCAGTAAGTAGAAAGGTAGACGGATTTAAAGGCAAAAGCACACGAGATTTCTGGACAGCCTCGCGCCGCGTCCTGCGTCAGGGTGCCCGAAGGGAAAACCAGACAAACAGCTCTGACGTCCAGTCCAACAGAAGGTCTGGCAAGTGGTGCGTGTGCTTCCAGCAGACGAGGGTGGGGACGGCGGGGTGGCCACGCTACGAGCCGGCACCGCCACTCCCAGGCCCCGACGGAGAGACAGGGAGGCCGGGAACGGCGGCACGGTCAGCACCAAGAGTGGACCCCTGCGCCTCATGCAAGAGGATGACCTGCCCAGCAGCGTCCACTGTGCACCGTCCAGCCCACACCCCCTTCCGCAGGCAGCTCCCGCTGGGACTCATCTTTGCCCAGGCAGCCACACCACGTGGCACTGATTTACAGACCTAGCAGGTCTCTGTTTAGAGAGGCGCTCACAGCCAAGCCCCCACGAGGACAGAGACCACCAGGAACCCTCAACGCCCTGCCCACTGCGCGAGCTGCGCCTCGCAGAAGAGCGAGTACCCTGCAGGGCGCCGGCGCCCGCTCCCCGCACACGCTCAGCGCGCACACGCACACACACCGGCTCACGCTCCCCGCGCACAGCGCACACACGCACACACAAACACACACACTGGCTCACGCTCCCCGCGCACACTCAGCACACACACGCACAAACACACACACCGGCGCCCGCTCCCCGTGCACACACTCAGCACACACACGCACACACACCGGCTCACGCTCCCCGCGCACACTCAGCGCACACACGCACACACAAACACACACACCGGCGCCCGCTCCCCGTGCACACACTCAGCACACGCACACGCACACACACCAGCTCACGCTCCCTGCGCACACTCAGCACACACACACGCACACACCGCCCGCTCCCCGTGCACACACAGCACACACACACCGGCGCCCGCTCCCCGCGCACGCTCAGCGCACACACGCACACACCGGCTCACGCTCCCCGCGCACGCTCAGCGCGCACACGCACACACCGGCGCTCGCTCCCCGTGCACACACTCAGCACACGCACACACACCGGCTCACGCTCCCCGCGCACTCAGCGCACACACGCACACGCACACGCACACACCGGCGCTCGCTCCCCGCGCACACACTCAGCACACACACGCGCGCACACACCGGCTCACGCTCCCCACGCACACACTCAGCACACACACACGCACACACGCACACGCACACACCGGCGCTCGCTCCCCGTGCACACACTCAGCACACGCACACACACTGGCTCACGCTCCCCACGCACACACTCAGCACGCACACGCACACGCACACACACCGGCGCCCGCTCCCCGTGCACACTCAACACACACACAACCAGCTTACGCTCCTCACGCACACAGCACACACGTACACGCACACACCGGCTCACGCTCCCCGCGCACACACTCAGCACACACACACGCACACACACCGGCTCACGCTCCCCACGCACTCAGCACACACACACACGCACACACACCGGCTCACGCTCCCCACGCACACACTCAGCACACACACGCACACGCACACACACCGGCGCCCGCTCCCCGCGCACACTCAACACACACACACAACCAGCTTACGCTCCTCGCGCACACACGCACACGCACACACACCGGCTCACGCTCCCCGCGCACTCAGCACACACACACACGCACACACACCGGCTCACGCTCCCCACGCACACAGCACACACACGCACACGCACACACACCGGCGCCCGCTCCCCGCGCACACTCAATACACACACACAACCAGCTTACGCTCCTCGCGCACACACTCAGCACACACGCACATGCACACACACCGGCTCACGCTCCCCGCGCACACTCAGCAC